CTACAGAAAATATTTAAATACAGAAGACTGAACAATACATTGTTGAATGGCTAATGGGTCCTTGGAGAAACAAGAGGAGGAATCAAAAAGTTCCTAGAATCTAATAAAAATGAAAACCTAACCTGCCAGAACCTCTGGAGTAGAGCAAAGGCAGTGCTAAGAGGAAATTTTATAGCTATGAGAGACTAAATCAAGAAAAGCAAAGAAGGGCTGGCAGTGGCTCAAGTGATACAGCACCTGCCTAGCAGCTTGAGGCCCTAAGTTCAAACCCCAGTATCACCAAAAAACCAAAAACAACCCAGAAAGATCACAAATAGTCTAATGATGCACCTCAAACTTGTAGAAAAGCAAGAACAGGCCAAACCCCAAATTAGCAGTCAGGAAGAAATAATAAATATTAAGGCAGAAATTGATGAAATGGAGTCAGGCACAGTGGCTCAAGCCTATAACCCTAATTACTTGGGAGGCTGAGATCAGGAAAATCGCAGTTCAAGGTCAGCCCAGGCAAAATAGTTCAGGAGCCCCCCATCTCCAAAATAACTAGAGCAAAATGTACTAGAGGCATGGCTCAAGTGGTAGAGCACCTGCTTTGCAAGCATGAAGCCCTGAGTTAAAATCTTTGTACCACCAAAAAGAAAGAGAGGAGGAAGGAAGGAAGGAAGGAAGGAAGGAAGGGGGGGAGGAAGACAAGAAACCAATGAAATGGATACTAAAAACACAATATAAAGAACCAGTGAAATAAAAAGTTGGATCTTTGAAAATGTAAATAAGATTGATAAACCCTTAACCAAACTTTCCAAAAGAAGGAGGAAAAAGACACAAGTTAAAGGTGAAAAGGGGGATTATCACAGCAAATACCAATGAAATCCAGAGGATCATGAGGGAATACTCTGAAAACATGTTCTAATAATCTGGAAAATCTAGAAGACATTTATCAATTTCTAGATACATTCAACCTATCAAAATTGAACCAAGAGGATATAAACCACTTAAACAGATCTATAACAGGCAATGAGATTAAAGCAGTAATAAAGCGCCTCTGAAAAAAGAAAACCCCAGGCCCAGATGAATTCACCGCTGCATTCTACCAGACTTTTAAAGCAGAACTACTACCGATGTTCTTCAAACTATTCCATGAAACAGAAAGGAATGAACACTACGAAACTCATTCTGTGAAGCCAATATTATACTCATACTAAAACCAGATAAAGACATAACAACAGCAAAAGAGAATTATATGGGCTGGAGCATGGCTCAAGTGGCAGAGTGCCTGCTAAGCAAATATAGGGCACTAGTTCAAACTCCAGGAGAGAGAGAGAGATTGAGAGAAAGAGAGAGAGAGAGAGAGAGAGAGAGAGAGAGTTATTGATCAATTTCTTTGATGAACACAGATGTAAAATTCTCAATAAAATGCTTGCAAATGGAATTCAACAATACATTAAAAAGATCATAAGCGGCTGGTTCAACATATGTAAATCAATAAATGTAATACAGCACATAAACAGAATCAAGGACAAAAGTCACATGATCATCTCCATTGATGCAGAAAAGGCCTTCGGCAAAATTCAGCATCCTTTCATGATAAAATCTCTGAAGAAACATACCTCAACAAAATAAAGGCTGTGTAGAAAAACCTACAGCCAACATCATGCTAAATGGGGAAAACAAAAACCATTTCCTCTAAAGTCAAGAATGAGACCAGGGTGTCCACTCTCCCCACTCTTATTCAACATAGTACTGGAATTCCTAGCCCAAGCAATAACACAAGAGAAAGAAATAAGTGATTCAAATAGGGAAGGAATAAGTCAAATCTATTTGCAGATTAAAAACCCTAAAAAGTCTATAAAAAACTCCTAGATCTGATATACACTATTGACAACATAGCAGTATATAAAATTAATGTACAAAAATCAGTAGCTTTTCTATATACTGACAATGAACAGTCTGAGAAAGAAATCAGGAAAACAATTCCATTCATAATAGTCTCAGGAAGGTAGGTGTAAACTTAATGAAGGAGGTGAAAGACCTCTACAATGAAAACTGTAAAACCTTGAAGAAAGAAATTGAAGAAGACACCAGAGGATAGAAAGACCTCCCATGTTCATGGATGGGCAGAATTAATATTGTGCAAATGACTGTGCTACTGAAAGCAATCTACAGATTCAGTGCAATGCCCATCAAAGTCTCAATGTCATTTTTTGCAGTAATAGAAATGTCCATACTAAAATTCATATGTAAGCAGAAAAGACCCAGGAAAGCAAAAGTAATCCTGAGCAAAAAGAGTAATGCTGAAGGTATCAAAATATGGACTTCAAATTATACTACGAAGTCAGAGTAACAAAAACAGCATGGTTCTGACACAAAACAGACCAAAGACTAATAGAACAGAATAGAAGATCCTGAAATAAGTCTACACAGCTACAACCAGTTGATTTTCCACAAAGGAGCCAAAAATATACATTGGAGCGATAACAGCCTTTTCAACAAATGGTGCTGGGAAAACTGATTGTCTACACTTGAAGACTGAAACTAGACCGCTGTCTCTCACCCTGTACAAAAGTCAACTCCAAATGGATCAAAAATCTCAATTGTAAGATCTAAAACATTGACACTACTACAGGAAAACACTGGAAGATATAGGCACAGGTAATTATTTTCTGAATAGGACTCCAATTTGTCCAGGAAATAAGAGTAAGAATAAGAATCAAAATTAAGAAGTTTCTGCACAGCAGGGCATCGGTGGCTCATGCCTGTAATCCTAGCTACTCAGGAGGCAGAGATCAGGAGGATCGAGGTTTGAAGCCAGCCCCGTGGAATTAATTCTGCAAGACCCTATCTCAAAAATACCTAACACAAAAAAAGGCTGGTGGAGTGGCTTGAGGTGTAGGCCCTGAGTTCAAACCCCAATACCATAAAAAAACAAAAAAGTTTCCGCACATTAAAGGAAACAATTACCACACTCAAAAGACAACACATGGAATGGGAGAAAATCTTTGCCAGTTATTCAATGGATAAAGGATTAATATCCAGAATATACAAAGAGTTCAAAGAAACTAAACAACAAAAGAACAAACAATCCAATTAATAAATGGGCAAATGAATAGACAGTTCTCAGAAGTAGAAACAGGTAATAAATACATGAAGAAACATTCAGCATCCTTAGACATGAAGGAAATGCAAATCAAATCTACCCTGAGCTTCCATCTCAGCCCAGTCAGATTGGCCCTCATCAAAAGACAACAAATGCTGGTGAAGATATGGGGGAAAGGGACCCTCATTCACTGTTGGTGGAAATGTAAACTAGTGCAACCACTGTGGAAATCAGTATGGAGGTTCCTCAGAAAGCTAAAAACAGACTTATCTTATGACCCTGCCATAGCACTCTTGGGCATTTATCCAAAGAGGTGTAAATCAATGCAGAAGAGAGACACCTGCACACCCATGTTTATTGCAGTTCTTCTCACAATAGCCAAACTGTGGACTCAGCCTAGATGCCCAACAAGGATGAATGGATAAAGAAAACATGGTATCTGTGTGCATGTGTGGGTGCGTGTGTACGTTGGAGTATTATTCAGCCATAAAGTGAAATTATCCCATTTTCAGGAAAATGGATGGAACTGGAGATCAACTGAGCAAGAAAAACCAAGCTCTAAAAGCTAACAGCACGTTTTCACTCATTTGTGGAATCTAGACCTAAAATGATGATGATGAGATATGAATGTTAAAGAGGGACTGTGGGGGGGGGTCAGCGGGGAGGGGGGGAATGATGAGGGGATTATCGGGGAAGGGGCGGGGGGGGAGGAGGAGGAAAGGCTATTGATGGGTGAAGAGGATCAAAGTACCTATTTCTCGCTCTCTGTCTATATATGAAGATAGTGTAATGAGACCCACAAAACACTGAAAAAGTGGGGAGGACGCAGGGGAGTTAAAAGAAAGGGGGGGTGAACTTGTTCAAAGTACACCGTACACATTCATGGAATTAAACCCCCTCGTACCTTCAATGTATGTAATTAAAATTAAAACATTTTTTAAAATGTAAAAACAAAATTAAATATACAATGTATATACATACAATGTATATACGTGTGCATATATTCATCTTGGCGCGTGTTTAGGCGTTGAACAGGGAGGTGTAGAAGATGGCGACGTTAATGGTTTTATGGAGATTAGGACAGTCGGCTTCTTATTATCTGTATGTTTTTTTAAAAATTTGTTTTGCAAAGAACAAGACTATCGACGTAATGGAAAATAAAATTTAAATAATTCCAAAACAAAAGGAATGGAAGGTTTTCTGTGTCAGAGCTACTTTTTGTCTTCAGGGACAGCCCCAGATCTCGCAGTCCCTCCCCGAATGGGAAGCTGGGGTCTGGTCTCCCCGAGAGCAATGGCGGAGCCATCAGCGGAGCAGCTGGCTGCAGGCCAGTGGTGTGGCGAGGGGCCCGGGAATCAGAACACAGATATCTCGGTTTCTGCCAAGTGACCCCACGACGACCCGCTTTGGACCAATATGAGGTGCGTGTCCGTTCTCGCCTCGGCCTCTCCCTCTCCCCAGGCCCAAGCAGCAGTGTCCACCCTGCCTCCTGGATGAGGACAGGTGCTGCCCGGGACCGCGGCTGGAGACCGAATGCCCAAGATCACCTCGGCCCCTCCTGGCCGGCATCCCACCTTTCCTGTGGTGCGTTTTTGTTTTAACTCATCTGAACTGGTTACAAAACCACACTCCCACGAATACATAAATAATGGATAAGCGGGGGGGGGGGTGATGTTTTAAAGAAATTCCCGCAAGGCCTGGCAAAGCAACAGCAAATGCATTTCTGCTGTATCATATTTAACTGTTTGGAGGATGCGCGGCGACTGTGGAGACTCCAGTGCTCACCGCATTTCGCGGTCCGGGCCCTGGCAAGACTTGATCGGGGGGTCCAAAGGAGGGGAGAAGGTGGCAGCGATCGGAGGCCGGGAGCTGCAGGGGAGGAACGTAAGACCGCACTGTGTCTAGTCTGGCTTGGCGCAAGCCAAGCATCCACCAGTCTCCCGCCCCAGCTCCAGCCGCTAGGCGAGGCCCCTTTAAGAGCCAGTGCGCGCCCCCGCCCCGCCAGCTCTCACTTTCCCTAGCAACCGCCCCGGGGGAGGGGGAGGTCCTGGCAACAGCGCGTTGGCCAGGACGGTCACGTGACGGCCCGCAGCTGGAACGCGAGCGCGCGTCTCGCCGCGCGCCCGCCCGCCGGGGCCTGTGCGCTGCGGCGCGTGCGCGAGCGGTGCAGCACCGGTCGCGGGAGCTGGGAGTATTATGGGCTGTGGGTGCCGCTGAGCAAGATGGAGCTGTCTGCAGTGGGCGAACGGGTCTTCGCGGCCGAATCCATCATTAAACGGCGGATCCGCAAGGTGAGTCCTTTTTCCGGACGGGCCATCGCTCCCTGCGTCCGGGTCCGGGTCTCTGGGCCCTCGGGGCAAAGCGGTCCCGCTAGCCCGGGTCGCTCGGCCACCCCCTTGCCGCCGCCTCCTCGCCTCCCTGCATCCTCCCCAACCCCCCTCTTTTTTCTTTCTGTTTTTCAGGGACGTATCGAGTACCTGGTGAAATGGAAGGGGTGGGCGATCAAGTGAGTGTCGCGGGGTCCAGGGCGGGGGGGAGGGGAGGCAGCGGGCACCGGGCCTTCTCGGGGGGGGGGGCGGTGCGCGTGTTTGCTGCTTCGCCCTGTTCCTCTGCCTCTCAGATGTTCATGTTATTTTGTGCATGCGTGACTCGGCAGGTACAGCACTTGGGAGCCCGAGGAGAACATCCTGGACTCGCGGCTCATCGCAGCCTTCGAGCAGAAGTGAGTTGGGGAAGCTGGCAGGCAGGCAGGCGCGGCGGGGCGCCGCGCGGGGAAGCGGGAGAGCGGGGGAGGGTCGGGGCGTGGGGCCGGGAAGGGGCTCTTTTTAATCTCTGGCGTTTCTCGGCCGCAGGGAGAGGGAACGTGAGCTGTATGGGCCCAAGAAGAGGGGACCCAAACCCAAAACTTTCCTTCTGAAGGTAACCTGGCCCAGCCCCAGCAGCCCCCTCTCGGGCCCCCAGCGCTGCACGGGGCCTGGAGGGAGGGACAGATCCGCGACTGGCGGGCCTTCCAGAGGGGCCCTAGCTGGGCAGAGGGTGGTTGTGAGCCCCCGACAAGCCCCTGGCAGCAGCCGTGGCCAGTTCCAGCAAGAGAAACCTGGGAGTGGGGACTAATCCTCCATGACGATCCCAGGGTCTGGGGGACTTTCAGGGCTTCAGGAAGAGGGTGGGTGAGGCAGGTGGGGGATGCCCACGAGGAAGGGGATGGCACGGCTGTTTCTGCTGGCGAGACCCCCTCGCCTCCCCCAGTCTTAAGCACTTGGGGCTGTGTCCAGAGTTAGAGCCACAGGAGAGCGTGGGCCCACTTCCTGCCAGGGTATCTGGAGAGGCACTTGGAGGACCACCTGCCTCCCAGCCCTCAGCTGCCCACCTCAGGATGTATTCATCATCTCCCCTCCTCACTCGAGGGCCCAGTTTGAGTTTGACCTTAAAGCACTTCAACTTGAGTTTATCACCCAGGCTAGCCCACCAACTTCAGGACCCTGAGCCTCAGTTTACCCCCAATCTTGCTGTTTCTGGCAGTTCTAATGAGGATGGGGTGTGGCGTGTGGTGAAGCACAGTCTGCTTTCCTTGGCAAAGGAGGGAAGAATTTCCAGAGGAAACCATCTTGGGGGTTTGAGTATTTATTTTATTTAATGAGAAAGAACAGGGTGGAAAAAGGAGGGCAAGGTGTCCACCCAAGGCAAGGCAGCAGATGGGACTCACTGAGCCACTTCAGTCACCCTAAAGGCTAAGGATGTCTCAGGGCCCCTTCCCACCCAATTTTGTTGCATTTGGCACCAGGACAGGGAGGACTCTGTAGAAGAGACTGCCGAATGCAGGACCTCAGAATCCCCACTTTGTCCAAAAGACTCAAAGCCAGTGAAGGTGGGGTGGACCTGTCCAGCCCGCCCCGACCCCTCCCCCAGCCAAAGGATTGTGCATGTGTAAGGGCTTGCTTTGGACTTAAAGCAGAAGTGGAAAAAAAAATACTGGGTTCCACAATTCCATATTTCTGTAGCCCGCCCCCAACCGTGGCACATCCTAAGCGATCAGTGGAGCGACCTTAACCCTGATGCTTGCGGGTAGGGAGGGGTGGGCGGAGCAGCTGTAAGGCTTGGTGGTCTGCGTGACACCAGGCTCACAGCGCAGCTGGAGCGCCCTCTCGCGACGAGACGAGTAATAGTCGTATTCACAAAATGCCCTGTTTTTTATTTTTTTATCCCCTTTAATTCTCTCAGCAATCCCATGAAGTGGGGAGTATTATCTCCATTTCACGGATGAAGAAATCGAGGGGGAAGTGGCTTACCCGAGGGCCCACCACCCAGTTTTCCTGGCTTCATCCCTTTTCTTCGTCTTGTCCCTGGGGAAATACGTGACAAAGGAGGTTGATGGACACACAGGAAGTGTGAAGGCTGCAGAGTGGGTGGGGCAGGGGATGGAGCAGTAGATGGTAGCACCTTGATGCACACGTTCCGAAATGGTGGATGAGAGTGGCAGGGATTCTTGGGAGGGCTGTGGAGACAACTTGGACTGAACCTGTTGCTCCGTGGTCACTGAGAGCCATGTACAAAGTCAGGAAATGGCACTTGGCTGCTGGGACCTACTTTGAAGGCAAGGGGAACCCAAGAAGTAGGCTCCATTATCCCCATCTCACACGTGGGAGAAGAGATCAAAGAGGTTAAATAATTTGGCCACAGTCACAGAGAGTCCACAGCAGAGTCTAGACAGCATCTAAAGTACACTCCAAACTCTCGGGGCCACCTGTCACCGAGTACCATTTATTCACCAGACAGATATTATAAAAGCAACATTTAAGAATTACAATATTTCATAGAAAATTTGGAAAGCACACTAGAAAGATGATTGCTCAGAAGCTGGTGTTCGTGGATAAATTCACCATGAGCTGGGTACTTGCTGTGTGCAGGCATGCACTTAGTAGCTGCCCTATATGTGCAGTTATCACAGAAGTAGCATTCTGTGGCAGGTGCTGTTAGGATTATACACGTTAAGAAAGTGAGGCACAGGGAGGTCATCCTGGGTCTGCCATTTGCACACACACTGCCCCTCCTCCAGGGACTGGCTGTCACGCCGGACTCCTGTAGAAACTAGTTACAGAGATCAGGGAACACTCAGGCAAGATGTAGGGGAGAAAGCACCAGCCCCCAAGGTCAGAGAGAGTGGACGTCCCTTAAGCTCATGTTGAAGTGTACCTGCAGTAAGGCCCTGCTTTTCAGGCCACAGGAAGCCTGTCCTTTTTCCTGCCTTAGTCTGGGAAGGGGTGTGAGGAGCCCAGTCTCTGGGGAGCCCTAGGAACTGGCAGCATTGGTCTATGTGCTGCCACCTAGTGGCCAGTAGGATTGTTGACAAGCATCCCTGAGAGGCCCCAACTGGTGGGAAGGACCAGATGTGGAGTGAGGGTCACATGCTAAACAAGACACCCTGGGGTTGCAGTCCAACGGTCTGGTCTCGTCTGAGGGTACGCAGGCTGCTTCTCACGTACTGGTAAGCATCCAGCACTGTGGGGAGAGGGAGGTGAGAGACCCCCAAATCTCAGATTCCTTGGGATCTTCACTGACTGATGGTGAGAATGAGTCTTTCCTCTCTGCCCCCACCGTCTGCCACCTGGATGGTGGCAGTCACCACCTCACTATGCTCTCTGTCCCCAGCCATGGCTGTCAGCCCTCCACCACTGCATCCTCTCACACTGCTGGGGCTTGGCCTTGGGGCTGTCTCTGCCTCCACCACTGGCCTGTCTTCCCAGGCCACCAGCCCTGGAACTGCCTGGGTGCTCAGTCAGGACCTGGACTCTCCAGCTTCAGGACTAGCCTTGGTATCACATACTCCACATCTGGATTCTGGATCCTCAACTACTCCTCTAGGTCACTGTCCTCTCTGCATTGCACCTAGTCATTCTGCCTTCTGCCTGCGGGTGTCCCCTCCATGAGAGAATGCAGCACCCATGAGAGAATGTAGACCTGAGCAGCTGACCTTGACAATTGAGTGTCAATGAATTCCAAAGCCTAGGCCCTGCTACATCCTAGATCTCCTAGGATGACATAGCAACTGAGGAGTCACAACTCATAGAGCTTTCAAGAGATCTGTAGCTGGAAGGACAGCTGCCTGGCTGCCCACAGACCATTGTGGCACAGAGAATATGGAATGGTAGAGCCCACCTGTAGATCCGTGTCCAGTCCTGTCTAACCAGGCTTTGGAATTCATTGGCACCAATTCACTCACTGAGCCACACACTGGGCAGGCAGGTGAAGCAGACCAAGGAGGGCAAGGGTGGGCTGTGAGCACAGAGGAGGAGCCCAGAGGGTAGGGGTTCTGTCTAGATGATAATCACAGGGGAAATAGGCTGGAGCTGGAAATTGGCCAAATAAGAGGCAGGAAAGCACTGGGAACACGGCAAGTAGGTGGACAGGGCTGGAAGATGGGGAGCAGAAAAATTGCCTCTCCTTCCTATCATAGAGAATTGGTCCCAGGCCTGGCTTCAGTCCTTCACAGAGGAGGTTGGTAGGGGTTCTGTGGAAGGGCCCTCCTGGTGTAGAGTCTGATGGTTGTGCAGAGCAGCAAAGGCAGCCTCTAGAGCTGTCTCTGTCCCTGGGGACTAACGACTCAGCCAGCAGAAGTTGTGGGAAGGAGAAAAAGACCCGGTCTTAAGAACGGGGCGTGATCTTGAGAACTTGTGTTGTCTCACCTCCCTGGACCTGTTTCCTTTTCTAAGCCGGGGTCGTAAGTCTCATTGGTTTTCTGACGTGCTGTTTACCGAGAGACTGTGCTTAGGCCTGGAAGGCACAGGGGTGTCCGGAGGTCCCACCCACGCCCCTCTGCCCGCAGGCCCGGGCCCAGGCGGAGGCCCTCCGCCTCAGTGACGTGCATTTCTCTGTCAAGCCGAGTGCCAGCGCCTCCTCGCCCAAGCTGCACTCCAGCGCCGCCGTGCACCGGCTCAAGAAAGACATCCGCCGCTGCCACCGCATGTCCCGCCGCCCCCTGCCCCGCCCAGACCCTCAGGGGGGCAGCCCTGGCCTGCGCCCGCCCATCTCGCCCTTCTCAGAGACCGTGCGCATCATCAATCGTAAAGTGAAGCCTCGGGAGCCCAAGCGGAACCGCATCATCCTCAATCTGAAGGTGATCGACAAGGGCCCGGGCGGAGGTGGCGCGGGGCAGAGTGCTGGGGCGCTCGCGCGCCCCAAAGTCCCCTCCCGGAACCGCGTCATCGGGAAGAGTAAGAAGTTCAGCGAGAGCATCCTCCGCACCCAGATCCGCCACATGAAGTTTGGCGCCTTCGCGCTGTACAAGCCCCCGCCCGCCCCTCTGTCGCCCCCGCCCGCAGGCAAGGCTGAGGTCACCGCCTCCCCAGGCCCGGGGCTACTACTGCCCGCCTCAGCCCCCACCGCCCCCTACGATGCCCGCAGCTCCAGCTCTTCTGGTTGCCCTTCGCCCACGCTGCAGTCCTCTGACCCCGATGATGCGCCGCCTAAGCTACTCCCCGAGACCATGAGCCCAAATGCCCCCGACTGGCGCGAGCCCGAGGTGCTCGACCTGTCCATCCCCCCGGAGTCGGCAGCCACCGGCAAGAGGGCACCTTCTGATGTCACTACTGCTGCTGGCCAGGCACTAACCACAGTTCCAGAGTCCGCTGGTGCCTCCGAGCCAGAGGCTGGTGACTGGCGCCCTGAGATGTCACCCTGCTCCAATGTGGTCGTCACTGATGTCACCAGCAACCTCCTGACGGTCACTATCAAGGAGTTCTGCAACCCTGAGGATTTCGAAAAGGTGGCTGCTGGGGTAGCAGGTGCTGCAGTCGGAGCTGGCAGCAGTGGGGTGAGCAAATAAGGGTGCTCCCCCAACAAGGGGGGTGGGGGGGCTCTTTTGCCCCAAATCACACTTGTGCTCCCTTCCTGCCCCTGCCCTCAGACCTGTCTGCCTGTGCTTTGCTTGTCTCAAATGGCTGGGTGTTTGTTGACCCAGGGATGGGATGGGCAGTTGCCCCCCACCAAGGCCAGTAGGCTGGGCAGTCCAGGACTGGATTAGGGCTGGGGCAGGGAATGGGCACCAAGGAGTGCTCAACTCCTGTCTTTTGGCACTGTCCTTGCCCATGCACTATGGGGCCCACTGGGTGGTTTCTGGGGAACCCTAAAACCTGGGGTTCACCTGCCCTCACCTACATCCTACCTTGTCTCTGCCTAGCTTGCTTCTTGCTCTCATGTATAAGCATCTGGTCACTAGGTGCTAACCCAGCAGCTGCAGGGCTTCCTGCCTGTATGGCATCACCCCAGATTAGAGTGAAGGATGAGGCCAGATGGCCCTTCCTTCTACACCATCAAGGGTGGCAGCAACTGGGCCAGAGATCCACTTCCCTGGCTACCTGCTTTTGGGCCAGGCCTTTGTGCCCCCTACCCTATTTCTTCCCGGAGCCCCTCTTGAAGTTGGAAGGAGCTGGTGCAGATACACCCTGCTGGAGCTTCTGGGCACCTAAAGGCCCTTCAGTTCTCGATCAAAGGTGCTACAAGAACCTGTTGTGGGAACTTCTAGCTGTGCATGTGCATCAGCCCCCTTGGTGTGTTTGTGTCTCCACATGTGCAGTGGGTGCTGGGCCCCAGCTTTCCCCTTGGCTCAGACAGTGTCATTGAAGGCTGGGCTCAGCCCTCCCTCACTAGCAGGGCCTGGCGTGGTTGGGTTCAGAGAGATCTCTGTGGAGGCCACTAAGCCTCTCCTCTTGGTCCAGGTATGCTGGGTGTGCCAAGCCCTCGGGCCCTTCTCCTTGGGGTGGTCAGCCCCACAGTTGGGTCTTCACTGTAGACCTGGCATGGTGGTGATAGTGGTAGAGAGAGGGAGCCCTGCTCCAGCCTACCTTCCTCCAGGTGTTTGGGGAGGAAAGAGGAGGCCTGGAGATCTCCTGGGGGTCTTCACCTTCTCCCACCCATCTCGGTTGCTTCTGGCCGCTGAGGCTTTCTCATAGCCCAGCCCGCTCGAAACATCGGGAGGCCTTGGATGCCCTGGGCAGCATCTGTTGCTCTCTGCTGCCAGGGAGCTGAGGCATCCATGCCAGTGGCAGAGACCAAAACCCCACTTTTAGGCTGGGCCTGGGAGGGTAGGCAGGCCAGAGGAGAGAGACCACAGAGGGACCTGTGTTCAGGAGAGCCAGGGTATCTCTCTGGGGTAGGGGGCATGGGTGGCATGTTTCTGTGTGTGACTGGAGCAAGTCTCCAGTGTGCACAGCCATTGGTACCCGCTCAGAAGCATGATGGCAAAAAGCATGTGGAGGGCAGAAAGGGAAGCAATCAGATGACAGCATGTTGGTCCCTTAAGGGGGAGCCCCTGCCAGGGACTCAGCATAGCTCCCGACCCTCCCTGCTCCAGGGTATAGAACAGGGGCCCTTACAGGGTTTGAGGGGCAACACTCCTGGGTTCTCCACCCCCCCACCCTTTGTGTTGGCTCCAAGACCGTCCAAGTGCCAATTGGCTTTTCCCCAAAATAAGGGCTGGTATTTCTCCTCTGTCCTTAGAGGTGATTTCCCCCGACCCCCTCCCAGGTGTGCTGCCACCTGGGTGCCAGTTACAGGTGTTTCCAGAGACCATAGAAATGTGTTTTCCTGAGAGTCTGTGTCATTCGTGACTTTTTTTGTAAAGAAGTTGTGTTTTCAGAGGTGATTTTATGATGGAAAGTGAAAGAATTAGTTTTTCAAAAAAAAAAAAAAAAAGCAAAAAAAGAGGAAAAAAATAGAAAAAAAATATTGTGGGATTCCTAAGGGACTTGCGGGGAGTGGGGGGGAAAGAGATATTTAAAGAGAACATAGTAGCACTGCGATTGCACAGGTGAGGTGGCAATGTGAGGAATGGGGGAGGGGAGGCCTGGGCCTGATTGCCGGGTCCCCTGGGGTCTCAGGCACCCTGGAGACATTCTGGCCACCCTCCTTCTTTGTCCCCAGGCAGGGTGAGCCTTCCCTGCTGACCCAGGCCCAGACTTCCACTCCATTCCTTGAGCAAAGGGAAAGATGACAGCTCCCAAGGGAGCTAGCTAGAATTTTTTGGGGGGAGGCAAGCAAAGGGAGGCTGGGGAGGGGGCCGGGCCTTGCCTCGTTGGCAATTTTCTCCAGGAATGCTGGTGAGTAGTAATTTGGTTTTTTTGCTCACCTCCATTCTTTTGCCAGCTTGTGGGGCCATGTGGTCCCCGATACCACCACTCCATGGGGGGCAGCTCCCCCAGTCACCCCAAAGACCGTGACACCACTGAGAGAAGCTGTGGGCCCTCGTAGAGACTCTTTAGATGCTGGCTGACTGGGATAGCTGGAAAGAAGGGAAGGCCTTTCATGGTGGGTTGTTGCCCTGGGCCCCAGCCTGGACAGCCCCACTCCTGCCTGTGTGTGTGCATGTGCACACTGCCTCAAGGCCTGTGGCTGCCCTAGGATCAAGAGCAAGGGGAACCCTCCTTCCTGGTCCCAGGCTGCCTGCTGGCCGACATGCCCTGGCCACTCCCTCTCCCATTTGCACGGATCAGCCTCCTTCACCCTTTGCTGCTTTTCCATTTGCCTAATTACCAAGCAGAAGTTGCAGCCTGGTTTGCTTTATTTTTGTATGTGAAATAACGCCCCCTTCCTGTGTTCGATTTTGGGTGGACATTGGTCATGTCCCCTTAAATGTAGCCCCCCCCATGTGTCATAGGAAACACGTGAGGCCTGATGTCTCTGGTGTGAGATGGAAAATTGGGGCCTGTCCCTATCTGGTTTCCCTCTCTGACCCCTCTGCCTTTCTGTGAAAGGGCTGTGCTGTATAGCAAGGCCTTGCGAGAAGCACTTTGGTGCTCCATGTTGCTGGCAGTGGGGCCTCCAGCCACCCACAGTCCCTGCAGAAGGTCACGGTCAAAATGAGCCTCCTCCTTCCTCAGATCTGGGAAGAGGTGATGACCAAGTCCCCAGCCTCAGTGGGAAGAGGGTAGAGTGGGAGGGGTCGCCCCATTTCAGAGGGGGCAAAGCTGCTTCACTGGGATAACATGGCAAGCTGAGAGCCCAGGCTGTCCCATGCTTTAGATAAAAAAAAAATAATAATAAGGTAGGAACCCTGGGGCCAGCACAATGCCAGCGGGCAGATCTCTGACCTGGAGTGCCAGACCAGTAGGCCTGCCCAAAAGTCATCCAGAAGCGAAACTGGGTCAGTCAAGGGGCCTAGACTGCTGCCAGCCTCTCTGGCCCCTTGGACGGAAGAGGACGCACCCCTTTTCCTCACTTTGTTTGTTTTTGTTTTTGCACTTCGCCCACGCTGGACGGTGGAGCCCCGCTGGCCAGTTCCACTCTCGGGCTCCCATGCACTCGCCCAAGGCAGCCTCTTTGAGGATTGTATGGTTCAAGGAATCACTTTTTAAAAGAAAAAAGGAAGTTTAAGGGTTTTAGTTTTTCTCTGTCTGCACCTCCTCTCAATGCAGAAAGCATAGAAATAGGGGTTAACATTCTGGGAAAGGCTCCCTGCCCGCCCCCCTTTTGCCCACAGTCACCAAGATGCGGAAGTAGGGAGCTAGTCCCCCCATCCTTGAAGGAGTCAAGACTGCATTCCAACAGTGAGTGCCTTCTGTATGCAGAGGATCAGCTAGGCAGTGGGGGGCTGGCGGTATCATGGGGAGCATGCTCCCCAGAGGCTAGTCTAAGGAGTGGAGACTTTGCCTAGACCGGAGGGGGATGTAGACGTCTTTTTGTTGGTTTTAATTTAAATTTAAAAACACAAAAGCCTAAAGAAATATGTATCTTATAATTTTGTTTAATTTTTGCAAAGCTCATTTAGTGAATTGTGCACGAATGAATTCTATATATATAAAATATACGTATATAACTCTATATTTGGGGAGGGGCACTGCCTCTGTATTCTGTCTCGCATTTCAATATGATGTGTTGTTGCCTTTGTCTGTGGTTCAACCATCCAGCTCCCAGCTGGCTAAACCTTGCCTCCAGTGGTTGAAGACGGGAGCATAGTAGGACTGGCAGGAGATGGGAATGAGGATGCCACCCCACAGGGGACGGGTCTCCCAGTCCACCCTGCCCCTCCCCGGTGAAGACTTCGGGTGGGGATGATGGCTTACTTTGGGTGTGGGTTCTGTTTTGGGCTCAGTGGATTCTGGGCCAGGGGAGAGTGGGTTCGTGCTGATTACTCTGTCTTGTACGTTTTGTTCTGCTGCTTTTCAATATTGTATCGATGCCAGGAAAGGGGAGTGAAAAGCCTCTTTTCACTCCCAAATAAATTGTCACATTCCGAAGCTAAGGCCCCGCCAGGCTGGGGTGTGTCTGTCTCATTTCTACCCAGCCGCTGCAGAGAGAAGCCAGGTCCCTGTCCTGCACTGGCAGCATCTGGCTAGCCCTCACCCACTCCAAGTCCTTCCTGAAGGAGCTGAGCCAGGCCTGCAGGACATCTTGGCCAGTAGCTCCTAGAGCCTGCAGCCTGGATAGTGATAAGTAGGCTGATGCATGGTGAGAGTGGGAGGGCTGGGGGTCACTCCCCTGCCTGCGCCCCCCATTGAAATAACAGCACCCACAGACAGGAAAGGACTGTGGCATTGTCACCCCAGAGCCCAGGAGTCTACAGGCCCCTGCCAGAGGTCCCCACAGTTCGGGATCATGTGTTTTGGTCACAAGGAGAGGTCCCTCCCAACTCAGAGAGTGGGGCACTTCACATCTGTTCTGGACACTGTTGAGTCTTCCCTTAAGACACAAGGAACCCCACCCCACTCCCCAGCACCCTCAGATTCAGGCCTTACATCCGTACTCCCTTCTCTGCCTGCCTCCTCCCTCTCCACCCTTCTTATGCTGTCTAGGGACTGCTCCCAAGCATCCCTTCCACTTGCCCTGACTCCTCCCTAACACCAGTTTGGGGTCTTGTTCCCCCTCCGAAGGGAAGGGCCGGTCTCCCCGCTACCTGCAGATCAGAGCTTGTGCCTGGCACAGAGTAGGTCCTCACTCACTTCTTCTCTGCCACCAAGCTCCGTCCTCAACTGACATGACAGCAAACTGCAGCGGCTGAGGCAGACTAGAGACCCCATGGCTCTTCCAGCTATTCAGCACTGTCAGTGTCCCTGGCCTGGGGCCAGCAAGACCAATGGGAGTGCTTCTCTACCTAAAATTGTTCCTGGATATGGCAGCCACAGAATCTGGGGCAGGCAGGTAGCCAGGGACCCACAGGTATACTGACAGGCAGAGGAGGCCTGTCATACAGCCACCTCCTGGTTATCTCAAACACCAGTCTTCATGTTCTACTCCCAGAAATTCCTCTTTTGGTACTTATTTTTAAAAAACCAGTGTACCTACTACCTGCCAGGCACTGTGAGCACCTCTGTCATCCCTTGCCAGAGCCCATGTCTATGAGTCATGAGCAAATGTTCTGGTCACGACAGAGAGGCAAAGGGACCAACTACTTCATTTGCCTGAAGTGGCCCACCTCTCATGGGTAGCATCCACACTTGTTCTAGGCCTGTCTTGGGGACCAGAGACACAGAGGCTGCCCTTGGGAGGCAGGTGCACCCACAGAGTAGTCATCCTGTCCCTTGTCTCAAGTCCTGACACCACTAAGCACTGTTGGTTGGTTGAGAGTCTGATGGTGACCATGGGGAATCCAGGCTTTGTAGTGAGGCTCAGCGCTGGCTGGCTGAGAACACGCAGACTCAGAGAGGCTGGCATCTCATCTGATAAGAGGCAGCTGCAATGTGAGTAGGTTTGTCTGCCAAGCAGTGCTCTACCTGGCCCACCATTACCTCTCCCTGTTCCTGGGCCTCATCCCAAGAGTAGGGTCAGTGATTGGGTGAAACTCAAGCTTGGGGCAAAGTGAGGAATAGGGGTTGGCATGGGGTGTGATTGGCTATTTTTGCAAAACTACTTCGTCATTCTTTTGTGTTTTGGGGTGGTTTTTGTTTATTTGCTTTTGGCTGTACTGTGGATTGAACTCAGGCCCCCACGCTTGCTAGGCAATCACTGTTACTACTTGAGCCAAGCCCCTAGCCCTTTTGTTTTTATTTTGCTTTTCACATAGGGTCTCCCACTAACTTTGCTTGGGCCAGCCTCAAACTGCAGTCCTCCTGTTTCTGCCTGCCAAGTAGCTGGGACCACAGGTGTACCCCACAGTGAGTCTCTTAACTTTTTGCCCAGACTTAGTCCTCCTATCTCTGCTTCCTGAGTAGCTGGAATTTACAGACATGCAACACCATTCCTGGCCCTACTTTGTCATTTTTTTTTTTAGAAGCTAAAACTTTATTTTTATTTAATTTTTTTTGGGTGGTGGTGGTACTGGGGTTTGAACTGAGGACCTTGATCTTTCCAGGCAGGTGCTCTCCATTTGAGCCATGCCTCCAGCCTTTAATGGGTTTTTTTTTCAGTCCTTGTCAAGCTGTGCCTGTAGTGAAAGGGGAAGAGAGAGAGACTACATCAAAATGTTGACTCCCCTCCTGAGCCAGATAAGGAGCCTGTGAGCTGGTCCTGTGCCTCCTTTGTTGCTGCTGCCTTCTGAGAGACACTTCTAAAGGCCTTGTAGCCTGCAGAGGACAGGCCCAAGGACATCTGATCCGTAACAGTGGGTCACAAAGGAAGTAGCAAGAGAGAGGCCAGTCCTGGCCTCCAGATCTCCAAGCACTCTGAGTGTCTGAGGGAAGTCCTAGGCCCAGGAGAAGCCTGGTTGGGGGACCAAAGCCACTCCAGGGCAAGATTTGAAATGACCCTTGTGGGGATAACAGGAAGTGGTCAGAGTCAAGGGGTGTTGGAATGTTTAGGATTTGGTGGTCCTTTAGAGTTTTCTAGAGGGCACCTCTAAAAACAGCAGGGTATTAAGTATTGGGGAAGGAATGGGTGTTGGCACTGCTTACAGACCAGGAACCTTAAGAAGAGGCGACTTGGGGCAGGTGCATTCATTTGGGATACCTTGGGAGCACATCAGACAGAGGGCCCCAGTGGGGAGGATGGGGTTTTCACCAATGGATTTGAGGCTTGGAGCAAGTTCCTGCCCATTCAGCTACCCCAGGACAAAGTGTCTGTCCCTGTGCCCCTCAGCTCTGAGGCTCTGTAAAGACTGGGAGATGCGAGGGGGCCAATGTCCAGCCTTTTGCCTCCTCAATCTCACCTAGGTAAACTGAAGCACAGAGCTGGGGATGATTGGCTACCTCAGAGAATTGAGGAAGAGAATTAAAAAAAAAAAAAAGAAAGTCTGGAAACCAAAAACAAAGAGGTAGCAAAATATCAGAGTGAAAAGCAGATGCTGCTCCTTTGGGGACCCTGCAGGGTGGGCCACTGGGAGGCGCGGGGACAAGAGGTAAGGGAGGGGGACGGTCTTTGATAACCAAAGACCTTGGATTTTACATCTATGTAGGGATGGGAGACAAAGCCTGGGGTCCTTGAGATTTGGAACCAGGATGCCTGAATAAAACTCAACCCATATTCTTAGTGAAAACACAAATGGATGGAAATCACCCTTTTGCCAGTCAGGGCAATGTCAGAGAAGTTGTCTTTCTCATATCTGGCTATGTTGGAAACATAAAAAGAAAGTTCTCCCTTGAGAAATTGTAACTCTAGACCTCCCCTAACACAAATTTGAAGTGTGAATTTGTATTTCTCACATGGCCCCAGAGCTCTCAAATTGAGAAATTAATATAAAAACAAACCTGAGATGGGTAACACCACGGAGCATGTGGGAGTAGCAAATGCAAGCCTCTCTGGATGCCATCCCCACAACAAAGGCCACATGGGATTCCCCCAGACAAACCCCCTGCAAACATGAGCTCATAACCCAGAATTACAAAAACACACAAAGAAGCGAGCTACAAAAGTAAAACAACAGCCAGTACATACAGGATTCTGCACCCAACACACATTGTGTTCAAGCACACATTGAAGATTTCCTTATCATGTTAATCATACAGTAGGATATAAAGCAAATCTCAGTAAATTTCAAAAGTTGACATCACAGCCTAATGGAACAGAACAGGGAGCCCAGACATACACTTTGGGATATATGGCCAAATGAGGGTCTGGGGGTGTGGCTCGAATGTAGAGTGCTTGCCTATCTTGAAAAAAACCTTTCACAAAAAAGGGCTGGTGGAGTGT